AACACAATTAAGAGTTCCTACGATTATTAAAAGTCCATATCCAAGAACCAAATTTCATATGACACTAACGTTTCAAGTCAACAGAAGGTTGACCAGAAACCCTACCAAGCTTAAACTTGAACACAACATTACCACAAGGTCCTCTTTCTCGCCAATAATTCTCAACCAAATATAAACCATCGTACACATAATGCTTTCCTTTCTGATCTACTCTCGTTTTGCCAAGTACCACCCTCACTGGAGTTTTCTCCCTCATGCTATTAGCTAATGCCAGGTTTCCCCTAACAAGCTTCTGGTCTTTCCTCACGTTACCTCCTTCCCCGGTGTAAATCAACATGCCGGAATCAAATCTGTCGTTATAACCATTACCTTCCGATGAAACAATACTCGTCGCTACCAAGTCTCCTCTGATGTAATCAATCCCACCCCTCATGTCGAAATGAAGACCGACTAAGTTGAGTTCCGATTTGTACTGAAATACATCCCCAATTTCGATTCCCGGGACTGGTCCTATCCTCTTTTCAGCATTCACTTGCTTCCTCTCTTCCACGAGAACATTCCGAGTTTGGTAATCTATCCTACTCGTTGCAGTATGTGATTCTCCATGCCGCGCTGCCTTGTCTCGTTTCAGCTCATTAAACACAAGTTTGAAAAGACGCAACGCCTTTTGAACTTTCTGACGTGGGGTAAGAACTTTGGTAATCCGGTTTTGTTGGGTAACCGGGATGAGTCGAGCATGAATTGACCTTCTTCCATCTCTTTGTTGCGTCAGTTTATGAGTGTTTGCCCTTGGTGCAACTGCATTACTCAACTCCGTCCAATTCCTCTGAATGATACTAGATGAAAATGAGAGCTGTCTTCTTCTATTCTGAGACGATATCAGTTTGCGTGATTCCTCTGGACTTAGAGGTTTAACTTTACTTCCACAAGTTGAAGTGAAATTCCTCTTAGCTGAACCAAATCTTCCACTACCAACATTATTAACAGTTACACTGAAACCAGCATTTTTCATAATGGAATCAATCGACTCGACTTCCTTAAACTTATCAACAGAAGAAGCAGTCCTCCTCTGATGGTAATCATGATCAACACCACCACCAACACAGCTATTCTCAGAACCAATCAAACTTTGTCCTGACTCACTTCTTGTGACTGTAACAGCATCACTAACTATCCCGGTTTTCGGATTCTTCGATTGAGTACCACATCCACTTGGAAAATCTCTAACACCAGAGACCCTTTTTCGTTTAGATGGTGAGTTCCTTAAAGTCATCTTCCTGCAAAACATTACAATTTTCAGAAAAATCAACTTCTTAAACCATCATAGAGACACTCTTAAGCAAATCCAGAAAATAAATCTTTGTAACAGTAAATTAGGGATAAAAAAATGAACAGTAACAAGAACACGATGGTGACTACGATGTTAACATTAGAACCATTAGTGTGAGTAAGATCATGGAGATTGAGTAATACGAACCTGATTAAGAGCGAAAATCAATTTTACACTTAATTCAAGAGAAATTTCCAGNGACTTCGATGAAAAATTCGGCCTAGAAAACAAAAATCAGAAAAAACGAAATCACACAGAATTCATAAAATTCGAAAGTTAAGTACGGAAAATTCGAAAAGGAAATGCAAAAAAGTATGAAGAAACGCAATTATTGAACAGAAACAGAGAGAAGAAACTCACGAGTATGATAGTCTTCGTCTTCAACCTCTGGATTCTTGATAATCCTCTCCGGCTCGGAAAACGAGAAGTCACTGGTGACTGGACAGAAAAAGAAAAAAAAGACCGTTTGGTGAATTGCGAATGTGAGTTTTAAATCTGATACTAACTACGTTTATGGGTTCAGTTTATAAGCTTTAAATTGTAATTAAGCGAATAATTAGCAAAACTAATACTCTCTGTATTATTTTAAATGATTTTTAAAGGTTTCTACGCACAAATTAAAAAACTATTTAATTTTCTATTTTTCAACGTAAAACCACAAATTCCAATGCAATTTAACCAATAGAAAACTAATCTGCAGAATTTAAAGAGTAAAAACAACAAAAACATAATTAATTTTATTTTGAAAACTTAAAACATTATCTAATTTGAGATAAAAAATTTTTTTTAGAAAATCATTTAATATGATACAGAGGGAGTACTGC